CGAGTGGCGAGTGGCGAGTGACGAGTGCGAGTGCGATAGAGACGAGGGAAAGAGTCGAGAGTGAAATGTTGTTTGGTTGCCCAACGGTCGTGCCGTCCTTGTGCCAATCAGCGTTGCCTCCGTCAGTGCCACTTGTGGCAGCTCCCCCCCTACCCCACATTCCTGCAAGTGCATCAAAATTCTTGGCAAAAGAGAACTTGGACTTGTGTCTCGTTCTGTGTGTGTTTTTCCCTTTTGATTTAGTTCCTCCTGCCTCAGCCCAGCCTCTGCTTCTGCCTCTTCCCCTTCCTCCACTTGGCCTCATGTTGCAAGTCTTTATTTTTGCTTCTTACTTTACATTTTTCATGATTCACCCGTGCTGCATCTTTTGCTCCTCTCTGGCTTTGCTATTTTCTTTCGCCTTACATTATTTTTCCCCCGTTTTTTTTTTTTTTTTTTTTTTTTTTTTTTTTTTTTTTTTTTTTTTTTTTTTTTTTTTTTTTTTTTTTTTTTTTTTTTTTTTTTTTGTGGTTTTTTTTACTCTCTGAACTGGTCTGCTGGCGTCGTCTATTTTCATGTCGTTTGCTGTTGCTGTTTCTGTTTGCTTTTTATGTTTTGTACAACAAATTGTATGTTAGCTCGGACGTCTTGATCCGTCGCCTCCGTCTCAGTCTCTTCCCAGTCAAGGTCCCACACCGCACTGGTGGTACGTGTGCCCTGGAAAAATGCACAGAAAATTCCTCATTTGCTTTCCTGTTGTTGCTGCTGCGAGGAGCGGATTTCCAATTGAATTTAGAGCTGCTCTCCACCCTCTCCTGCCCCGCCTGTGTGCCGGGGCACTCAATCATTGCGAGGACTCAACATGACGAAAGTGTAGAGCCAAGGGGCAGCCCTGACTGATTTTTCTTGTACGTAATTCTTTGCTCATCCTACACCCTCGACACCTGAGCACAGGGCATGCTCTCGCACTCTGTGCATTTTGTTGTGTGTTAATCTCTCTCCCTCCCTTTGAAGGATATCCTTTGGTCTGAATGTTCCCTACCTTGCGGCTTTTCCTACTTGTCCTGCTTGCTACACACTCTTTGAAGCAATCTCTGGACTGCCGTCCGACGTGACTCTAAGTTTCAGTTTGCAATGAAATTGTTTTTTCATTCCCATTTCGCCTCTGTCTGTCTCTGTCCTCCTCCCAGCCGCCACACTAATGGGTTAACTCGAGTCGGCTACCATCCAAGCCAAGGGCCCGTCGAGTGGGTTAAGCCTAAGCATTTGTCCGCCACCCAGCCTCGGGCCCCAGCCAGGATCGAGTTGAGCCCGTTGTTGGCCAGCAAATTGTGAGGATTTTTGTGAGTTATTGTTTGGATCCATTTGCGGTAAGTGTGCATGGGGGAGGCTGAGTGGAAAGCTAATGCAGGAATCTCGCCTGGCATGGGTCTAATCAATTTGATAGTTTTGCCCACCTTTGGGCTCATTGGATTGCCATTCTTGTGCGTTCTCCCTCGCTCTCTCTGTGTGTAGCTCTGATGGGCACTGCTCTACTCTCGCCACCCGTTACTGCCCATTCGCTATTTATTGCTCTCTCTCTCGCTACGCTGTCGCTGCTCTCGCTCTTCCCTGCTCTCCTTACAATTGGTTTTCCGACTGGTACTCTCCACCTTGCCGCACTGATCAGTTTTCGCAACGCTCTCTTATGTCCTTTGCAATTTACTTTTTTGCCCCTTGGCCAACTTTCAATTTGCTCCTCGCTGACGCTGCCTCTGCCTCTGCCTCGGCCTTTGGCTGTGGCTCCTCTTCTGCACCTTCACTTCCTCCTCTGGGTTGGTGGTTTTGCGCACACACAACTCGTCATCAATCTGCCAGCCGTCTGCCTCCGATCTGCTCTCTCCCACACTCTCTCGCCTTCGCTCGGGGTTCGCCTTTGGCCATGCTCCAGTTTTTGTGCCATTTTCCCAATTGCTTTCTGTGTGGTTTTCCCGCTCCCCTCCGTTGGCCAGCAGCCTTTTGTTGCTGCATTCAGTGCTGGGGCCGAATGCTGCTGTTGGATGCTTTTACCAAATCCTCGGCGTGATTTGCCGTTTAATTGTGCAGCAACTTGCCAAAATCGCAATGAGTGAGAAATGGATATTTGGCTATCTCTGCCTTCTCCTTGGCTTTGGGTATTTCTACGTCTGTCCCATCATGCTGCTGCACTCTTGTGGCACTGTATGTCGTCTTCCTCTTTGGCCCCTTCATCTGCGAATTCATGTCCTGGCCGGAGTCCTGCTGCCATGTCAGTTTGGACACGAGAATCGTTTTTGGCGGCATGCGTGATTTGCCAGCGCCCCAGTGCCAGTGCCAGTCGCAGTCCGCCTCCCGTTCTGGCCTCGGCACTCATCAATAAGCCAACAAACTTACGAAACAGTCTGCGAACAGACAGGGGCAGGGAGACGCCAGAGACCAGAGACCAGGACAGGACAGGACAGGACAGACAGTGCTTTGCACTTAGTTGGGCGGAGATTCCCGCTCCATTTGAGGAGGACTTCGGCTACATTTGATCCCAGCGTATGAAAGTTTGAGAATTTCATGTCCTGCCCCGTCCTGCCCTGCTCTGGGTACGTGCGCAAATCATTTTGAAGGAACAAAATCCATCAAAATTCCGCAAATAACTACCCGTGTGTGCTGGCAAGTAACTTTGCTTCAATCAGGCATCATCTTTGCCACACAGCATCCATCTGTTACTTGGCTTTGACAATCCACACGCAGGACTCCATCCATCCAACTCCCAGCTCCTCCTTTTCCTGCTTTCCCTTCCCCTTCAGCTTTATCTTTCACTTTCAATGCCATCTTCTAGGACTGCTTCTTGGCAGGACTTCTACGCGACAGTGCTGGACGGCTGTGCTTAGTCTACACATACATACATGTAGATATTCCACGTACATGTAGATGTAGAGTAGGAGCATGCGAACTTTCTCGCTTGAGCTAATGATCCGTGTAATCTGCACACCAGCGCAGAGCTCCTTCGGCAACTGGGACTTCCACATAATTGGCATAAGTTTGCACTTAACTCACAGGCAAATAATATACATTAACAATACACATACACATGTATATGTATATGTAGATGTATATGTATATGTATAACAGGTACCCGAACTCGTACTGGTACTCCTCCTTGTCTCGTCTCGTCTCGTCTCACGGTAGATTTAACACGAGGCAGGAGGGCGTTCAATAAATGTCAGCAATTAAAAAGACGCAATGAATGTTGTACCCAGCGAAAGGTGAAAGAGGAGAATCCATGCCAGACTCTCACTCTCTCTCTCTCTGTGCGTGTGTGGGCGTGGCTGAGGAGCTTGGCGTGCCACGCGAGTGGGCGTCAAATAGCGCGGCAAACAGGTGTAATATTTAAATGCCACATCCGCCCACGCACAGACAAAACAAATATTGAATATTGTGTCAAGGAATGCATGGAATCGGAGCGCGGAATGTGGAATGTGGAATCGGAGTGGCAATCTAGCCTCTGCCGCAAAATGCCAAGCTTCAAAGCTTCAAATCGAAATAAATTCCCAGGCAAAACGCTTGGATTTCTTTCTAATTTCAGCTCACAAAATGTGTCTGAGAGTTGTGTTGGGTGTAATGGCTGCATTCCTTGGGATCCGTTCCCCATGGGGATACGCCCGGCTAAAGGAATTTGTGATGGCAAACGCACAACTGGTTGGAATTTATTGTTGAATATTGGCAGCAGGGCAAAAATAGCTTCACTTTGTGCATTGGAATGCCTGTCCAGCTGCAGGAGTTATTGCAATCATAGACTTAGATCAGTTGAGTCATTCTGCTGCATTCTCTTTTCACTTGTGCGATCGAAGCATAAGTCCCTGAGCAGTGCGAGCAGAAACACGTGGAATGGAACACTTTTAAGGCGGAGACGGAGTGCGAGATTGATTCGTGGTTGTCAGTTTGACTCTTGTTCTGCTCTGTGGCCCTTCGCTTCGTCAAATGATTGATGGCCAACGTCGGTGAAGGGATGCTGGTGGTTTCTGTGTGTGCAACTTGGCAGGATAATCGGGCAGTAGTCCGGATGATAATGCTGATGATGGGCTCTGATGATTGCAAGAACTGGCTTGAGGTGCACCAAGGTGCATATTTCAATATCAATTGCACCAGCAACAGAGTATCTGCAACTGTGTGTGGGATGCCTCAATATCAAGCAGATAGCAGATGCAAATACAATTACCCATTAAATCGAAGCTGTTCCAGCTATCGAAGGATACCACAGAAAACGGAGCAGGAGTATTTGTGTCAGCAGCAATTGAAGATGTTCCGGGGACAAAGCGTGGATGGAGGCGGAACGTGTCTTCCGCATAATTAGCATTGATGACGAGACGGCACACAAGAATGCAAGTAATAAGCAAAAACAAAACGAAAGCCAATGTGGCATGTGGCATGGCACGTGCTAAGCAGCAGCCAAAAAAGGATCCCCAGCAGCAGCAGCCTCCTCCTGTCCCCGTGGATAATGTGACAAGTTTTTGTGCTTCGGTGGCGCAATCTTTAATTTAAATGCCAGCCATCTCCTCACGCTTATCAGATTATTTTGCACCCACGTGATGAGCAGCTCCACACATGGATGACCCAAGGAGTAGCTGGACTCATGGCAAATTCAATGGGAATCAGCTTGAAGATGCTCCTTGAAGCGGAGCTCAGCCCTCTGTGGAGTTGAGATCTTAAATGAAGGCATAAAAATCCTTCGCTTGTTTAATATTCTTATCGCTAATGAAGTGTTTATGGGGGTGTGTCAGGAATTGGTTTGCCAGGATATTACTTTTTGCCCACCGGCAGATTCTCGCTTTCGCTTTCGCTTTCAGTTGTGCTCCTTCCCGTGCACTCTCCTGGCCTTAACCTGATGCCGTTGACTCAATTACACGGCGTTTGCCATGCAATTTGCCTCTTCGCACACACACACACGAAGCGGGGCAGGGAGATTCGCAATTTTCATTTACATTTTTGCCATTTTTGTTTTCTTTTTCATGGAAATATTTTTGCATTTGCAGCATCCGGCGACATCCAGCGGTGTCCTCGCTCGCGCCCGCTTTGTGCCACATGCCACCAGTGCAGAAATAAGGAAACAACAGCAGCAGCAACATTTCCGAGCAACATAAAGCCCTGCCCCACCCGGAGATCTGCCTGATGTCTGATGCCTGATGCCTGATGCCCGACGCAGGGCGGAAGCGACAACATTTTATGACGGTCACAAAATACACAGCGGAGCCTCGAACGGTTAACGCTTAAACGGTAAACGGTAAACGGTGCAGCGTTCCAGGGAGCGACAGGAGGATGCAAATTATGTGCCACATGAAGCGTCAAAGCGTTTGATTTCATTGCAACAGCAACAGCAACAGCGACAGCAACAGGAGCAGAGTCCAAAATCAAATTCAAATTCCCAAGCACAGTCGCTGATTGATTGACTGATTGACTGATTGAGTGATTGAGTGACCAAGCCGCAGGCAGGCAGGCAGGCAAAACCCAGCAAAGATTCAGCGCTCAGCGATTAAATCGGCGCCAATTCCGATGGCGGCCTTTCTCGGCAACGACATCAGCAGCGGCAGCCCCGGCAGCGGCAGCGGCGGCGGCGGCGGCCTGCGAAGCGGTGCCACAGCAGCCGCAGCTGCCACAGCAGCACTCAATGGCGGTGGCCGTGGCCGTGGTCGCCAGGGAGGAGGTGAAGCGAATGGCGGCACGGGCAGTGCAGCGAACTCCGGGCCATCGTCCAAGTCGGAGAAGCAGGACGACAGCGAGGAGGGCGGCATCGGCATCCTCTGCGGCTGCGGCAACAGGGCGCCCAAGTCCCACTGCATATCCGCAACAGGTGAGTCAGCTCCTCACTCGTTCAGGCCGGGGCCGGGGCCAATGATTCGTATTTGTGCTGCCTCAAAGAGAATATATCCTTTGCCCTTTGCCCTCGCAGGTGTCCTGCTGCTGGTGCTGCTGTACACCGCCATGGGGTCGATCATCTTCGTGACCCTCGAGGGCGAGCTGGAGGACGGCAGTGCCGTGGAGACAGCTGTGGCCGCCTCCAAGCCATATCCGCGCACTGAACTGGCCAACGCCGAGATACGCTCCAGGCAAGTGGCCAACCGATTGGGGGATCCATCGATTCAGCATCCACTAATTGCGATCTTTTCAGAACTGTCGATCGCTTGTGGTCGATAACGGAGGATCTCAATATCCTGTACAAGGAGAACTGGACTCGTCTCGCCGCCCAGGAGGTGCAGCTGTTTCAGGTGAGTGTTCCGGGCAGCCTGCCACTCTTCCCACTCTTCCCACTCTTCCCACTCTCTTGCTAATGGTGCATCCTGCCTGCGTGTCCCTCTCTCTCTCTGTCTCTCTCTTTCCGCAGGACACACTGCTGCGGGCCGTTCGCCAGTCAAAGGTTTATCCACCAGGCGGCATCCAGCTGAACGCACCGACCCACAAGTGGACCTATGCCTCGGCCTTCCTCTACTCCATGACATTAATTACAACGATAGGTGAGTGAGAAGCTCCTGCCACCTTCCCTTCCACTCGTCGATTCCTTTTGTTGGCTTCGTGTTGTTCTCTGGTTCTTTGCTTCGACTCTCTGGGCAATTTATTAGCCCAAGCCTGCCAAGTGCCAGAACCCCAACCAGACACGTGTGCGTGTCCCTCCCTCCCTCTCTCTCTCTTTGTGAGTGGGGGTGAGCATCTGTGTGAGACGTTGAGTGAGCGCCTCTGCCCAGCCCCCAAGCCTTGGGCCGGACCACCCAGGGACTGCTGTTTTTAATTAACAAACTGTCAACCGACGGCATCGATTCCGTTCGTCTTGGCCACAGCAATTCTTACACTCCCTGGCATCCTGTGTATAGAGTTTATTTTTTGTTGCGTTCAGGATATCTGATTTCAATTAGGTGTGGAGCCATGCGTATGCCGGGGGGGGGGACGGACATCCGGAATGCGTCAGGAAGATGCATGCCAAACGTAATTAACATGTCCATGCCCCTCCGCACTCTAATCGAACTGGGGCCACAGCCACTGCTGCGCCCCTTGAGCCTGATGTGCATGCAAATTGAAGGCTGCCGAGAGACACAAAAATAATTGAAAAAAAAAACCCAAAAAATAGGGACAAGCCTGAAGCCTGAAGCCTACCCATGGATACCCTTGGCATAAACGCATTCAGCAGGATATTTATTTAAGTTGTTGTCATTGCAAAATTGCTCTTGGAATTCCATGCGTGGCCCTCAATTATGATTAAAGGGTGTTGAAAATCGACTAGTGGGTGGCCTGCGTTCAGTCAAACTATGACCACAAACAGGGGGAAGGGGCGATGCGGAGAGGAAAGCAAACGAAAATAGAACGGACACGCACTGTGGGTGACACATGAACAAAAGTGGAGCAGGGCCCACAGCAGGGCGGGGGCTGGATGATTGGATGGAGGATGTGGTTTGATTGGAATGGCTGAACAGTTTCGTTCACAATAAACGCGCTGTTAAATCAATCGAATTTGTAGCATTCAGCAACAGCAACAACAGCACCACAGCAGCAGCAGCAGGACAGCAGCTGGACACTCTGGCTGGCCCCTCATCACATTATGGGAATTGAGTTTGAAATCAAAACTCAATTTCGGAAAGGCAGAGCAGTGGGAGGCAAAGCAGAGAGCAGGCGGGCAGGCAATCAAAAATCTGTCTAAATACGAAACAACACCCCCGCCCCGCCCCGCACCGTCCACTACTCACCCACTCCAAGTTATTCACTACTCCCCCACTCACCGAATGCCACTTCTCCCCATCTGTGTCGCTGCGGCCTGGCGCCATGTTTGTGTAGCGGGGAGTGTCACTGAAATTATTCTGACATCACTGTGGAGTAGTGGGATAGTACCGTTACGGTATGTAGTTAAATAGAGACAGCGACAGGCAGAGAGACAGATCCAGCAGGTGAGAGGAGCGATGAGAGTGAGAGTGAGAGTGAGAGGTGGGGTGGGTAGATACACCGACCTGCGGTTGTCAGTTGGGTAAACCGAAACAACAGAAAAACAGAACAGAGAGGGAGAGAGAGAGTGAGAGCGAGCAAAAACAAAAGCTAGCGGCAGCAGCATGCAAGAACGGACATGCACAGACAGCAGCGGTCAGGCAGAGGGACAGACAGCAGCAGCAGGTAGACAGGCAGGCAGACAGATATAACGGTGCAACGGTGCTCAACTTTCTGCATTCTGCAGCCGTTTACGTGCATATTTGATTTGGTATATTCTACGAGTGCGAGCACAAGTCGAAGTAGAGGTAGAAGTAGAAGAAACTGGCACTGAGACAGGGGCTGGGGCTGTGGCTGGGGTTGGGTATGTCACGTCAATCCATTATGAAACAATTTGTCCCCAAAATTGGATAGATGTGGATACATGTACTTTCGATTGCGCTTAGCTCCCCCACTCGACTAATGTTTATTCTTCTATAAATAAAGACAAAACTGTGGCTGCCACGAGTATATTTCACTGTCTTTGGCAGCAGAGGGAAATCTCAAAATCCCCCACTTTGGCCACATTCAATCACCTTGGATTTGGGCCAAAAACTTCTTGCTGGGCTGGGCTGGGCGCTTTGTTGTTGGTTATTTAATGTGCTTAGGGTATGTGGGGTGGGGTATCCAAACGATCGTCAGGAGATGGCCCCGGGGGGAGTGAGACAAAACCATTATGCAAAATTCACATCGATTATGTCCCGGGCCCATGGCCCATTTGCTCATTATTCAATAATGAAGATATTTTCAATGGGCATTCGCTTGAATGGCCCACCGTCTCTTTGTACCTCTCCTCCACCTGCCAACCTGCCCACCTGCCCACTGTCTCTGAGCTATTTTCGATGGCCACCTTTATGTGTCCCGCCAGGCCATCGTTCAATTAAAATTCCTTCAGCTCGGATTTGTCTGGCTGTGTGTGCCTACGGCTGACTGGGGGCTGTCCTAATGGTTGTTTAGCCTCTCGCATAAAACAAATTTGATTGCCTGAAAAGCCTCGCGCCGCTGATGGATCGCTTGGAAGTAATACCTTCCCCGGGACTCAGTTTATGTCAATTGCTGCTCGAGTGTGTGAATTATGGAATGCGTATTTCATTTGCATTCACTCTCATTCGCTCTCATTCGATTAGCATCATGATTTGGCACGCTAATTGAGGAGTTCCGGCTGCACTTCCACTTCCACTTCCACTTCCACTTCATTTTCAATTTCAATTTTTGGCTGCGAAATATTTGACTAGAAATTTAATGGCACAAATGGCGATTATGGATAATTAATGTTGCCCGCACAGCTACTGCCGCGTGTGTGTCGTAATAAAATGAACACATTTGCCCGTAAATATAAACCGTGGCACTAATAAATACCCCCAGCCAGCCATTGAGCGTGTCCATTGTCCGTTGATTTATGCGCTGCACTGTGGTCGCCGCCCCCCCACCACCATTCGGTTCTACAAGCTGCGCCCAGAGGGAGTCCCATCCGCTGTCCAACACTCTTTCCTCTGCAGTGAGCAAACAGTGAGTGTCACAAAACTGTGGACAAGTGGCAGTAGGACAATGACAGAGGCCCGACCGGGGCATGTCATTAATGTTAATTGGTTTGTGGTGCCACTGCCAAAGTGCAGCGAGAGTTATGTGCAGCAAAAAGATAAGTGCCAAGAGCTGCTCCATCAGTCAATCAATAAGCCAATGTGCACTGGCAGCCACATACGAGCTCGCTCACACATAAATCTCCAGCACAAGAAATGTTAGCTCACAGCTCTCCCCTTTGACCTTCCTGTGCGGATGACCTTCGGCGGGGCCAGGCCATAAACCATTGCCATCGACGTAGCGGCTTTGTCTGCCACTTCCGTTTGCCATTCTGAATTACAGAATGCATTCGAATGAGTCGCGATTGATATTTATGTTGTTTACCTATTCGCATGGCCGGCAGTGTGGCGGCTGCTTTTTGATTGCTTTATTAAACACTTTGTCCGCTAAACGGCCGCCGTTGTTATTGTGTATTATTATTACATAATTTGTGTGCCTGAAACTGTGTATGCGCCCTGTTGCCCCGAATGCCTGCTGAACGGCAACTATAATCGTTTGTGACACGCGCTCCAGCCAGTGCTGAACAACTAGTTTATAATTGGAGAACTGAACACATGCCGTGTGGGGGATGAGCTAACTGTGCGCTAGCTTCGCATTGCAATCATTATTTATGGATGACATGTTTTAGGTGCGATTCCTGCGTTTCGGAGCCATTACCAACACTGATTTCGAGAACGGAAAAGGAGCGCGGCAGTTTATTTTATTTTATTGCAATTTGCAGACTCATTTTAATGGCTCACACTGTACACGTGTGTGTGTGTGTGTGTGTGTGTGGGTGTGTCAGTGTCAAACATAAAACAAATAATGCCAAAAGCGGCCATAGGCTGCAGGAACGAGAAGCACGACTAGAACAGCGCTTAAGAGGCAATCACAGATAAGTCAACATTCCGCTGACGAGGAGGACAACGAACGACGACAAACGGAGCACGAGCCCCACCCCAAATGAATGAATGGGTGAGTGGGTGAGTGGGTGAGTGAATGAACCAAAAGGAAGGCGCAGCCTCGAAGCAATTGTTACCCTAGCGACGAGCTGGGTTGGCCAGACAAATTGAGTCAAAATTCAGGGACCAAAGCCTATACATAAATGCACATAAATATGTAATCATATATGCAAGTACATAATGCGTATGTACTGTACACTGCTCAATGCCAAATGCCCTCTCCGCCAGGGTATGAATGAATGAACGAGCGCCCCTGCCTTGGACACACATATTATGTGGGTGGGTGGGTGGTGGGTGGTGGGTGTTCATCATGGCACAGCCCTTGACATGCTGCATACATTTTTTAATGTCTTCCTGTTCAGAAACGACAGCAACAACACCAACAGCCACGATGAGCCCTGAGAGGCCTGATATGTGTCAAACGCTAACACACACGGAGCACACACACACACACACACACTTGGCCGCTGCTGGTTCTGGCTTCTGGGTAGTTTTTCATCTCGTGCAAGGCTTACTGCAGCCCATCCATCTCCCAGCGATATGTGCCAGAGATGTTATGGCGAGTGCTAACAAACGAGACGAAGTGCAGGGTGGGGGGGGGGGGAGAGCGAAGAAGAGAAAAGAGAAGATTGAGAGCGAAATATAAACTGAAAGACAAACCGAAGAGCGGGAGAGCAAGATCGTGGGACGAGTGCCTGCAGCTACATTCCCGTCTGCTGACATTTCAGGCGTGAAAATGCTGTCAGGCAGCTCATTTGTGTCAGCCGGAAATGCTCACACACACACACACACACACGCACACACACGCACGAGTGCACACATGGACGAACGTGGCCCAATCAAGCGGAGCTCTGTGTCATTTTGCCTGCAAATGTCGCATATCGCAAAATGCTTAATAATGTCATAAAAACCGAATCACAAAACACTGCCAACACACACACACACACACACACACAGACATATGTGTGTGTATGTTTCCCTTGGCT